GGTTGGGCTGCAAGGCCATGGTGTGGCATCTGGGGGGGCTTCTAGGTCCCTGTGTGGCATTTGGGTGGATTGCAAGGTCGTTGGGTGGCATCTGGGGGGGCTTCGAGGTCCTTGTGTGGTGTTTGGATGGGATGCAAGGTCATGGTGTGGGATCTGGGGGGGCTTCGAGGTCCTTGTGTGGTGTTTGGGTGGGTTGGAGGGTCAATGCACATCATTTGGTTGGGTGGCAAGAGGTCATTTCCTGGTGTCCTGCTTGGACACAGTCCTTGTGTGGCATCTTATTGGGCTTCAAAGTCCTTGTGTGGCATCTTGTTGGGCTTCAAAGTCATTGTGTGGAGTCTTGTTGGGCTTCCAAGATGTTGTGTGGCATCTCGGTGGGCTTCCAAGTCATTGTGTGGCACCTTGATGGGCTTCAAAGTTGTTGTGTGGTGTCTTCGTGGGCTTCAAGTCCTTGTGTGGCATCTTGGTGGGCTTCCAAGTTGTTGTGTGGAGTCTTTCATGGGCTTCAAGTCATTGTGTGGCTTCTTCTTGGGTTTCCAAGTCATTGTGTGATGTTTTGTTGGGCTTCCAAGTCGTTGTGTGGCACCTGGATGGGCTTCAACCTCATTGTGTGGCATCTTGTTGGGCTTCCAAGTCATTGTGTGGCATCTTGGTGGGCTCCTAAGCTGTTTTGTGGCATCTTGGTGGGCTTCCAAGTCATTGGGTGGCATCTTGTTGCGCTTCAAGTCATTGTGGGGAGTCTTGGTGGGCTTCATAGTCATTGTGTGGCATCTTGGTGGGCTCCTAAGCTGTTGTGTGGCATCTTGGTGGGCTTCCAAGATGTTGTGTGGCATCTTGGTGGGCTTCCAAGTCATTGGGTGGCACCTGGATGGGCTTCAAAGTTGTGTGGTGTCTTCGTGGGCTTCAAGTCATTGTGTGGCATCTTGGTGGGCTCCTAAACTGTTGTGTGGCATCTTGGTGGGCTTCCAAGATGTTGTGTGGCATCTTGTTGCGCTTCAAGTCATTGTGGGGAGTCTTGGTGGGCTTCATAGTCATTGTGTGGCATCTTGGTGGGCTTCCAAATCGTTGTGTGGAGTCTTGTTGGCCTTCATAGTCATTGTGTGGCATCTTGGTGGGCTTCCAAATCGTTGTGTGGAGTCTTGTTGGCCTTCGAAGCCGTTGCGTGGCCTCCTTCCTCCCGTGACGTCCTTCCAGGTGGACGGCATCCTGGTGGACCTCCCTTTTAACCACGGCGAGAAGCTCCGGGTCTTCATCAAGGGAGTCCACGGCTTCATCAAGACCGACTTTGACTTGACCGTCACCTTCGACTGGTACAGCTACGCCCGCGTCATCCTCCCCACCACCTACGCCGGGGCCGTCTGCGGCCTCTGTGGCGACGCCGATGGTGACCCCGGCGATGACCTTGCCCTCCCCAACGGGACGTTGGCCACCGACGAGCTCCAGTTCGCCCGGTCCTGGAAGGTGGCCGACCTCCCGGGTTGCGAGGAGGACCCTTGCCCCGGGGGTTGCGGGGTCTGCACCCAAGCCCAAAAACGGGGCTACCGGGGGGACAAACACTGCGGGCTACTGGTCAAGAA